ATGTTATCAGGAGGGACCAGTCCCTGGAGAAGGACATCATGCTTGGTAAAGTAGAAGATCAGTGAAAAAGAGGATGACCCTCAGTGAGATGGACTGACACAGTGGCTGCACCAATGGGCTGAAACATAGCAATGATTGTGAAGATGGGACAGGACCAGGCAGTGTTCTATTCTGTTGAACATAAGGTCATTGTCATGGATTGAATTATGTTCCCCCAAAAATGTGTATCAGTTTTGTTGGGTCATGATTCCCAGTATTGTGTGGTCGTCTTCCATTTTGTGATTGTAATTTTATGTTAGAGAGGATTAGGGTGTGATTGCAACACCCTTACTAAGGTCACATCCCTGATGTGGTGTAAAGGGAGTTTCCCTGGGGTGTGGCCTTCACCACCTTTTATCTTACTAGGGATAAAAGGAAAGGAAAGTAAGCAGAGAGTTGGGGACCTCATAGCACCAGGAAAGCAGTGCCAGGAGCAGAGCACGTCCTTTGGACCTGGGGTCCCTGCATGGAGAAGCTCTTAGTCTGAGAGAAGATTAATGAGAAGGCCGACAGAGAGAGAAAGCCTTCCCCTGGAGCTGACACCCTGAATTTGGACTTTCAGCCTACTTTACAGTGAAGAAATAGATTTTTCTTTGTTAAAGCCATCCGCCTGTGGTATGTCTGTTATAGCAGCACTAGATGACTAAGACAGTCAACTATGAGTTGGAACCAACCCAGCGGCACCTAACAACATTTTCATGATAGCGTTAACTTGCAAATCTATTTCCTAGTGGATTAATGTATTGAATTATTAGGATTTATTAGCACCATCTATTGTTACATTGCTGTTGTTTACCTCAGATTAATTAATTATGGACAACATAATTACAAAAGCCAATGGACAACAAACGTGAGAGGTATGGGAGATGGAAGAGAGAAAATTAGAAAATTAGAATCACTGAGTACTCTGGGGAGATCACCTTTATCTGAATTGTCCCAGGATGCAGGGGAAAGAACACAAGAGGGCACTAAGTGTCCAGATGTGACCACAAAGACATGGTGTCTCTAGGGAGTAAGGCTGATGAAGAGCTTGCTTTCTTTACAGTCGTGAATGTAGTTAAAAACATTAAATAGTAAATGCAGTATATATGCTTAAATATACAGACTTACGGTTAATATTTATAAAATTCTATTAGTTGCCAGGAATTGAACTTAAAATATCTGGGGATGGAGGTTTTAGAAACCGTTTTAGTTTGTACTTTTTTGTTAGATTTCTAAATGAAATAGAAGGGAAACACTCTCTCTTTGTGAGGTCCTGAAGCACAATATCTCGTTCTGGCAAAGTTATCACTTAGTAGATAGAGTTCGTCTATGGAGAAAAGCATGCATGTACTTTGTGTGGATGTTTGATGCACTTTGGAGATGTTTTTGGGAAAATTGAAGGTATTTATTGTTTTATATAGATTTTTGAAACAGATTTTTCTTCTGGGTTCAGATCTTTCTGATTCTGTAGTATCTTAAGTAATAGCATTTGGTGGGGGGTTATTTATCATGTATGAATTCAATACATGAATAAACTTTCAGTGAATTAAAACTATGTATTACCAGACTATCTCTTGTTTTAAGGATTGTTATAATTCATGTGGTATACACAGATTGGTTTATTTCTAGAAAATATGTAAATCACTTAATTGGTGTTGTATTTTATACTATGAGCTTGAAAGTATCACTTGTCACTATCAATCCTCCAATTTTGAAAATGTTTTTGGAAGTGTTATAAGTAACCCTTTTATAGATAGTGTCTGCGTTAAATGTTGCAGAAATTGGAAGTACAGGGAAAATATTTAAACCTAATACTTAAATCTTTTTTTTTTTTAGTCAGCACTAGAATATTATACTTTTAAGAAAATAGGCCCAATGATCAAACTTCGTATTTTTATTAGGTTCAACTTGAGTTGATTTTCCAAGGTAATTGTGAAAAAGTCAGTAGTTAGATTTAGAAAGCTATTATTATTACTATTGTTTCTATTAGGAAGAAGTGTTGCTGGGAGTTAGATCTGATGAACAATTTGAAAAAATACTTAAAGTTTTACAATGAAATGTTCATTGAACGAAATATGGAAAAGATAGAAAAGCACAAAGAAGAGAATAAAATTTAACTATAATTTCACCAGCCAGACACTAACATTTTGTTTAATTTCTAGTCATTTATGTACTTAAAATACACATACTTACAGTTGATATGAATGGAATCATAGCATATAATTTTTTAAGTGTGTTTTTTCATGTATTTAAAAGTAAATTCAGTTTGCTGATCTGATTAAACATTTTAAAATTAAAAACTAAAACATTTTCTTAAAAATTTTTCTATCTTTTAAAAGTGGTTCTGGTTATTTTCACCATGTTTACAGTCTTTTCTGGATCATAGTAATCTTTTTGAAATACATTACTTTCCCCTACTACTATATATATTTGGAGACTCTTATTAAAAAATAGCTTATTTAGTTTTTTGTTCTGCTTAAATAAAGAAACCAATAACCTGTTTTAAGTTTCATGGAGGGTTAGAACAGATTTTCGAAGATTATGAGATTAGTTTTTGTGCATGTTACATTTGAGCTGTGTTTGAAACATCCTGGAGGAGATAGATGTCAAGTGAATAATTGGATATGTGTCCTGCAGCTCCAAGGGGAGAAAAATGTGTGAGTCATTGGGGTGTGTTGATAGTGAATTGAAGTCACCGGCATGGATAAGATTGCCAGGGGAGAGCATAGAGCTTG